GGTCAGCTTTCCTGCTCCTCTGATGCTGCTTGGCCTGCTGCGTTCATCCAGCTCTACTACACCTTGTTATCTCAGATTCTCCAGCATCGGCAGTTCCCACTGTCTCTCAACCTGAACTCTTAACAGTTTTCAGTGAAAGTCAATTTTCCCCTCATTTAATATCGTAATTACCTGGTCTGGTGGGTGTTCGAGGTTGGGTGTGACAAAGTGGTTAAAAAGAACGTGGAGAGAGAGAGTGCAAAATAAACAGTATAATGCAAAAACGAAAAGGAAGAGCTGGGTGTACACCTGTGGAAATGACTGGAGCTTGCAGGACAGATGGAGTGAGCAGTAAATGTAGCAGACAGTATCCTCAGTGTTACTAATGTGGCCAGAGAGCAGGGAGGTGAGGTTGAACTTGTTCCAGCGAATGTAGTGTGCGGCTGTGGGGAGAGAGGTGCGGAATGGCTGATTCTCTCTGTGGGAGAGCTTGAGACCAGGGGGCATCATCTCAGGGTAAGGGGTCACACACTTAACACAAAGAGACGAGAAGGAATTTCTTCTCCCAGAGGGGAGCGAACTGCAAGGAAATGCGTGAGCCCCTCGGAGACAGCGCACAAATGATTCACAGGAATGGTTCCAGGGGACTGGAAGATTCAGCGATGGGGATAGTTCCAAGCAGCTGGACATACAACTGTGGAGAAGTGCAGCTCAGAGAAGATCCGATCGGAGGTTCGCAAAACCACGAGGGAGGTAGAATACATAGGGAGAGGCTGTAAAACAAAAAAAACGTTCAGGAATGAGTGGGGCACAGGCTTAGGGTCATTTGCCAAAGAAGCGAAACGCGATGCGGCGAAAACTGGCGCAGGGACGGTCATTTAGGTTCAAGTCAATATGCAGGGCAAATGCAGGAGGGCGGTGTGAGCCATTCGGAGAGCTAGCACGGCCACGATGGATCAAACGGCCTCCGACAGCGCCGTAGCAGCTTTCCCTGATTCCAGAAAAGTCCGAGAGAGCCTGTTGCAAGGGGCAGTTAGGGACGAGCGACAAACGTGGGTCTTACCCATAGATTTCCAATGGGGGATGGGAGTTGGGAGAGAGAGAGAGGGATGAACAGGAAAGGATGGCTTTATCCTTTCCACAGAAACAGAGAGCACCAGCAGGGCATAAAGCTGGTGGGAATCTTTGTCAGTGCGCAAGGCAGACACAAGGAAGGTGCTTGCATTTCTAGGAGAGCCCAAAACGCCAGATCTTAATGTAAGGTGATATCCAACTGGGAAATCAGGAGAAACCCCTCCCTTCCTCCCATCCACTTCACTCAAGTGTATGGTGAGCACTCTGAACCACTTCGTGCATTTAAAGGGGAGACTAGATAAAAGGAAGTGGGTGGAAGGAAGAGGGACATGTACTTAGAAAAGGAGATGTGAATTGGGTTTGAGCAGCTTGGCAAGCTTGGCCCTGGATTGGGGTGAGCGCTGTGTTAACTGTCCCGTATGCTATTTGACTGGAAGGTGCATCGTCTTTGTGGAGATCAGCACCCAGGCCTGCCTGGCATCATACAGCTCCTGCCTCTCCACCGCCCTGGACGCTGCTTCGTTTGTCGCTGCACTAGCATCCTCTGAGAATGGCAGCCAGGAGTTCCCCTTCCCACTGCGAGCTGTTGGCGTGACGGCTGAGAAAGGTCAGTTCGGCCGGTTTGGGAAAACGGAAGCCAATGCGTTAACTATCTTGCTAGCCGCCTCCTCCAAGGCCCTGGGAGGAGTGCCATCAAAACCTGGGCCCTGTGGCATTAACAATTTATTCAGTACCACTTCTCCGGTCTGAAGTAACCTTACCCAGTTTCCTGATAACGTGACCCTTTGTCATAGAGTGGTACAGCTCGGAAACAGACCCTTCGGTCCATCCAGTCCATGCCGACCATAATCCCAAACTAAACTAGTGCCCACCCGCCTGCTCCTGGCCCATATCCCTCCCGATATTTCTCATTCATGTACTTATCCAAATGTCATTTAAACGTTGTGTCTGTACCCGCATCCACCACTTCCTCACAAAGTTCATTCCACATGCGAACCACCCTCTGTGTAAAAAATAAATTACTGCCTTTTTTAAACCTCTCTCCTCTCACCTTAACAATGTGCTCCCTAGCCTTGAAATGCCCCATCTCAGGGAAAAGATAGCTACCATTAACCCTATCTATACCCCACATGCTTTTATAAACCTCTATAAGGTCACCTCTCAACCTCTTACGCTCCAGTGAAAAAAATTCCAGCCTATCCAGCCTTTCTTTATAACCCAAACCATCCATACCCGGCAACATCCTGGTAAATTTCTTCTGAACTCTTTCCAGCTTAATAATATCCTTCCTATATAGCTGGGTGACCAGAACTGGACACAGTGCTCCAGAAGAGGCCTCACTAATGTCCTGCGCAACCTCAACATGACATCCCAACTCCTGTACTCAAAGGTCTGAGCAATGAAGGCAAGCCTGCAAAAAGCCTTTTTAACCAACCTGTCTACCTATCACACAAACTTCAAAGAATTATGTAACTACAACTTATTCTACAACACGACCCAAGGCCGTCCTATAAATTGTACAAGTTCTGGACCCCCAGCTAAGGAGAAAGTTCATCCCTGAGTCCAGTCTATCCAGCCCTGTCAGAATTTTATATCAGAATGAGATTCCCTCTCATTCCTCTCAACTCCAGTGACTACAAGTCCATTCGATCCAATCCCTCCTTCAGGATCCTCCTGCCATCCCCTAGTGTAGCGCCCCACTGCACTGCCTAATGGCAATTATCTTTGTCTAGGGAGACCAAAACTGCATGTAATACTCCAGGTGTAGCCTCGCCAAGGCTCAATAAAATTGCAGGAAGGCAGCCCGCACTTGGATTTAAATCTTCTGGCCATGATGGCCAGCGTCCCTTCATAGCTGTTCCGGCATGCTTGCTTCCCAGGTCTGCACCAACATTTCCCAATCCATCCCTGTTTTAAGTATGACTCTGCCATTCTGTGTCAGCTACAGAAGTGGACGATGTCATAGCTACGTACAAATACTGCATCTGCCACACACTTGCTCACTCGCGCAACTTGTCCAAATCACCTCGTGCCCTCTTTACGCCCACCTCAACACTCACAGTCCCACC